TGTAATAAGAAATAATAATAATAATAACAAACAAACAAACAAAAAAAAAAACCAGTGACATGGGCCTGGCCTCTGATTTGAAGACTGAGACATGCAGGATATGTGTCTGACCAGGTAGCTACTGCACTGCTGCCTCTAACAGGCTTCAGGGGAGCCCACTGCGTCCAGACAGGTGTGAACCCTGCAGCTGGGTGGGGAACAGCCCAGGGACAAAAGGAGAGGCTGGCCTTGCTTGTGCTTCTCGTCTGGCCTAGAAGGTGAGAGAGCCCCCAGGGCCTCCTCTCCTCTGTTCCCACCAGTCTCCTCAGTCAGGGGAACCACTTCGTATGACCATAGGAAGCAGTGGTCAGAAGTATGACTTCCTGGTCCATGTCCTGGCTTTCTCCTCACTACTTGGAACCTCCAGAGCTATGGGTTTTGACCCTATCTTCCCTCTCCCCCAACCCTGGTCTTCCTGCTACGCCCACAGGCCCTGGCCTTAACTGTTTCCACAGCAACACTGGAGCCATTTCACACGTAGCTGTAATGAACAGGAGGGGGACTAGTGTCTTAAGCTGGCTTATGACTGACTGGTACTAACCCTGGCAGATGCCTGATATCTGCAGCCTTGAAACAAAATCCCAGGAGCCCACAACAAGCAGAGGTACTTCTCATACAGGCCTAAGAGAGGGTGGGACCACATCCCCCGCAAATCCAGGATGACAGAAACAGACAACAGGATGGAGTGGGCCAGCCCTGGGCAACAGTGGAATGGGTGAAGGGGGCTTGGAGGCTGTCCCCCTCTCTCCTTCCCCCACTGCCTCTTAGCAATCAGATCCCCACTTCTTATCTTCTAACTTGAGGCTGCCTCTTAGATCATGGGCCCACAGACACGGGACTTTACCAGGACCCAAGGATGTGAACAACAGGGTGGAGTAATGAGGCTGGGGAGAAAGGAGAGTCTGGGTCAGGGTGGGGACCAGATGCTCTAAGAAATCAGACTCTCAGGATTTTTGCCTACTTGGGCCACTCCCCTTCCCAAAACATCCTCAAGAACCACAAGATGACCTTGCTCGGCGTCTAAGTGACACTCCTTAGTGTTCCTGTTGAACAGCCCCGTGAAACTCAGTATGCAACTGGGAAAACCAAGATAAAGTCAAGACCCTCATCCCGAATATATCATAATTCTGAAGATGAAGTCACGTTAGGGCCCTGAGAGCTAGTCGCGAGGACAGGGGAAACTGCTGTAAAAGCTGAGGCAGGAGCCCAGAACCTCCACCCTGCTGCTGCTGGCAGACGAAGGTTCTTACTTCTAGACAAAATGATTGTTTTTATAGGCTTTTAAATTCCTTTCACATAATTCAGCAAATTTCCAGCCAAACAATAGTATCAGGAGGCTGAAGACATAACCCAGAGTTGGTTGGAGCAACAATTCAGGGAATTAAAACTTTTTTTAACAAGGAAAATTTATCCTTTTAATGCCTCCAAACGAATCCAGGCACAAAAGTCTTCCTCAGGAATGAGACTCAATAAAAAAGCAGTTCAGGGAAAAGCAAAAGAACAGCTCTGCCCAGCACACTGGCTCGAGAGAGGCAGAGGTGGGCTCTGGGCACTTGCCACAGACCCAAATGAGAGATGTTGCTATTCATACTGGACTCCCGCCTCGGCTGCCCATCTGTCAGTGCTCTGTCCCCAGCCCTCTCTGGGTTCCCAACCTTTTAGCTTTTTTCAGTTCTCTATTCCTGAGAACAGAAACAGGGACAGCTCTTCAACCTGCCGTGTTGTTGGGCAAATAGCTCAGTCTCTAACTACGAAATGAGCAAGCTGGACTACTGATTTGCATACTACTCAGCTTCAGCTTGTCTGCTTTCGACTCTGAGATAGGGAAGTAAGACTAGCTGCACATTCAAATAATGGAAAAAGTGGCTTGCCCCAGATTTGCAAGGTAACTAGGCTTTTTATTAGCATGTCTGACTAAAAGGGGTGCCCGCTGCCTGATTACCAACAGGAAGGGTGAACCTTAGATTATGTAGGTGTCCATTTAATTCCTCCTCGAAGCTGACATGCAGGGTGGGCCTTGACTATGACATCAGCCCAAGTGACAATGAGGAAAATTCTAGATCTAAACCTTCTGGGGATTTCCTACCTTACTCCCCACAATAGGTTCTGGTTGAAGAAGGAAGCACTTTTTCAAGGAAGCATCTTTTGGAAATGGCAGGTAGGTGAAAAGAGGAAATAGTTCACGTAAAATTTGTGCTCTGTTTAGAGGCCTTCTCCTGTAAAAGTTTGAAAGAGAAAAAAGTAATTAAACTGAACAACCTATCTCCTTAACTAACAGAGAGCCAAGCAATGGTGGGAAAACAGTGGGCGGTGGGTGAAGAGGCAAAAATCAGGACAATTGTTTAATCGTTGGTCCATGAAGAACAGTCACACCAAGTCCATTAATTGTAAAATGTACACACACATGCGCACACACACACACCCCTAGAGCCCCACGGTTTGATCATGTGGGTGGGTGTTTATAAAGTCCAGCTAAAACAATAGATAGAGGAAGGGAAGGAACAGTTCATTTAATCATCTTGGAAGAGAGGCTGAAGTAATAATAGCAGGCTAGGCGGGGGAAAGGAAGAAAGGAGAAGGGGGGGAATCATGTATCATCTCCTGGGGTGGAGAGCATGCGGCGGGGCGCCTGATCAGCTTTGTTTGCCCAAGTATCCCATCATGCAAATAAACGGCGAGTTTTAAAAAGGCAGAAGTGTCGAGACATCAACTAATAAGATGTCTGAGAAAGTTATTTTAATTCTCTTTTGGAATGGAATGGTTCTAGATGGAAGCTGACTTTCCCTTTTCGGGGAGAGGAAGGGGTAAACGTTGCTCAAAGAAATGTACCAGGTCTTCTATAGGACACCGAAGATACAGGGGGACAGACTTGGGTTTCAATCCGGGGGGCCTTAGGTGAGGTAGTTAACCTCGCTGATTGCCACTTTGTCCTTTAAAGATTTATTTTTATTTATTTATGCATACAGAACTGGGGTACAGGCCAGAGGTGCAGGGGGTGAGAGGACTCCCCAGACATGCAGTAGGGAGCAGAACAGGCAGATATACTGAAATATACTGCTGAGAGGAGCAACGGGTGAGACAGGAGGTCTGGTGGGCCATGTGGGTCAGCTCCCTGGCTGGGGGTTGAACTCAGGCCATATTGGCTGGTGAGAGTTTGATAATGCAGAGCCTAACTCCTGCACTACCAAAGAGGCCTGATTCCCACTTTTTGGGACCTGAAAAATGACCATGAGAATTCCTAATCCCCAGAACTATTATGAGCATCAAAATGAGCAACAGACACCAGCCCCCAGGACATGTGCTGACCATAAACAAGTGCTTGGAGATGCAACTTCCCTTCTATCCATCGCATGCACTCTCAGCCCACCATGCTCAAGACCTGGTCTGCAGGGACATAAATGCTAAGCACATCAGAAAAACAAATTACGAGTCTATGAGGCAATCTTGGTGTCCACCCATGGCACCCCTCCAGCACACCTCTTCCCTCACCCCCTTTATTTCTTCTCATCACTGGTTGTTCAACAGGGAGCAGACTTTAAGGGTAGGCCATGAAGTGCTCCAGAAGAGCTGGGCACGGCAGGGTCTCATGGATACTGGTCACTGACTCTTGCCTGCCCCCTTTCTAGGGCAGCCCCTTTCACACTCACCAGGGATAAGGAAAGGGGAACCACCGTTCAGGAAAGCAGCGCCACCACTTGGTGAAAAGCCCTTCGGTGAAGCCTTCTGTTGCCTCTGGGTACTGGCACAAAAAGTGCTGAAGGGCCTCAGACAGCAGGGGCTGTCCCGTCTTGGCAAGACACACAGCAAAATGAAACACCATGTTACTGATGAGAAATGTCACAGAACGGGTTATTTTCTCTTCACTAAAGTCTAATCCATCCCTCCATAGGGGGATCAGGCTTCCTGCTCACCTTGATCACCAGAGGATGGAGTCTCTCAAACTTCTTCGGGGTATCTTCCAGGAGCATTACCTTCAGGGGTAACTTCTGGGTACAGCCAGTGCAGTTGGCAGAGATGGGGTCTGACTCATTGCGTTCACAGTTGTTTGTCCACCAGGGGTCGAAGTCTGAGAGAGGAAGAGACATGGAGAAAGCAGACACAGGAAGAGCACAGGGGATAAATCTGGTGGTCACAGCAATGGAAGTAGAAAGGAAACGTGATAAAGATTAGCTTTGAATTTAAAAGGCGCATATGAAATAAGCAGTCACTCAGGAGGGGGCAAAGGGCCCAGAATTGGGGGGGTGTGGGAGGGAATGCTGAAGAAGTTGAGAGGGAGAGAACATATCCTTTTTTAGTATATATTTTTTTAAAGATTTATTTACTTATGCACACAGAACTGGGGTACAGGCCAGAGGTGCAGGGGCGGTGAGAGGCTTCACCAGAGACAGAGCGGGGAGCAGAACAGGCAGATTGATGAAGTACACTGCTGAGGGGAGCAGTGGGAGAGACAGGAGAGGTCTGCCACACCATGTGGGTCACCTCTGGGGTGGGGATCGAACTCATGCTGAAGTGGCTTTAGCTTCTTAGTGCTGTGCTTTAACCCACCAGGGAGGGCCCTTTTTTTTTAGTATATTTTTATGTGAAAGATATTTTTCAACATATACATGTATCTCCTACATCAAATGAACTAAGCTGAACAGTTAACATGCAACATGGAAATGTAGGTTCTCTATCATCTTTTAGGCTGTGACCTGAGATGTCTACAGTATATGGGTGAGGGGCAGGTGGAAAGGGTGGTTCCACCATCAGTGATGAGGCCCCTCTCCCGCTTCAACACTTTGGGGGTGCTCCTAGACAACTGGCTCACAAGTACAGGGAAACCTCCCAGGAGGACTCTGGGAAGGAAGTGTGAGGAAAGGTTAGCAAGAAGGGATGGAGAGAGACAGGATTTTCAAGGGGTCCACCTCTGGAATAACCCCCGCAGACAGCCCTAAGCATGGCTGGGAAGGGGGCGGGACTACTCCTCAGGCTTCTATCCTTACGCACAGCAGGTGGGGCCACCTGAACCCCAACTAGAGTGTGAGCTGCCTCCTGACATCTTTCCCCAGCAGGTCCTTCTCTGAGGGACTGGCTCTCTTACCCAGTCCTTCTCAGTTTCTCTGTTTCTTCCTCAGACACTATTTGGTTTATGATGTTATTGCAATTGCAATATTCTTGTTTTCTGTCCCACTCTGGGTTTCATCTATGCTTTCTGAGATACATGTCATGAACCTAAATTTTAATCCAAAGTGTTTCACAAGATGGTATCTGATTAAAACCCAATTGAAACAGAATCAAGAGAGAGTCTTAGAGTAAACAAAGACAACACAAAAGCAAGCGTGGCTGAAATGAAGTCAACTCTTTCAATCAATAAACACACTGTGGAAACTGACCCTTCACCACGCAGCATTTTCTGTAGCCAGCAGCAGGGCCGTCTTCTGAGCCCTCTCAAGGCAGCAATAGTGGGGCAGAGGAAACCCTTACTAGGGAAGGACTGCGGTTGTTCTCAGTATCTCCTAAGTACCTCCAAGTGCCTCCATGCTGCAGACAGAACCTGGCTCCTTTTCATTTCTTCAGCTATCATTTTTAATGGAAGTAACACTGTACTATAAGTTTCAGGAGTGCAGCACTAAAAATCAGTGTGATTTTCACAATTAAGTTTACCTCTTGGGCCCTCCCTGGTGGTACAATGGGTTAAAACACAGCATGAAGTTATCCACAGCCATTGCAGCACCAGTTTGATCCTAGCCAGGGAGCTGATCCACATGGCGCAGCAGACCTCTCCTGTCTCCCCTCTGCTCCCCTCAGCAGTGTGTTTCAGTCAATCTGCCTGTTCTGCTTCCCACTCTGTCTCTGGTAAATCCTCTCATCCACCACACCTCTGGTCTGTACCCAGGTTCTTCTGTGTGTAAATAAGTAAATATTTAAAAAAAAAAAAA